GGAACTGTGCAGATACTGTACACAGGTAAGCTGAGGTCAAGGGATCGACCCCTGGGATCTGCATCGGCTACTGCCAAAGGTGAAAACTGTTTCACAGATGCAGATCCCGGGGTTTGATCCCCAGACCTTAACTCACCCATCTACAGTATCGAGTTGACCCTTGAGTGTTTGAACCCGTGACCTGTGTTTCGTGAGTTGTTTGTTTGTCTGTCGTAGGACTGTGTGGACATAGGGATTCGATCTGTAGACCTGTCGAGTAGAGGTCTTAGAGAGTTCCAGAAGTCGTAGCTGTAGGTGTCCTGAAGGGTCAAAGTTGTAGCTGCTACAGTCCCGAAAGGCCAAGAGTTCCAGAAGTCGTAGCTGTAGGTGTCCTGAAGGGTCAAAGTTGTAGCTGCTACAGTCCCGAAAGGCCAAGTCGCCAGACTTCTGGAAGGTCCGGAAGTGGCCTTGCCTTTCGCAGCTTGCTCACGTTTTAGACTGAGGCAAGTGGGCAAGTGGTGGACCAACTGCAGTACGTTCACAGTACTATAGCGGTAGGTTAGCAGTGCGTCCCCAGGCAGTCAGTGGTACGGTCCAGTCAGTCCCAGTCCAGTCCAGCAAGTACCATGAGGGACTGTGTGCACCATGGGCCGATGGAAAGGGGCAGACCAACCAGTTACAGAAGTATAAATCAAGAGCCAGCGCACAGCCATTCAGTCATTCCTGCGGAAGCCATGCGGAAGCGCTGCCACGGTGACTTGTGCGAGGTGGTCTGCAGAGGAGCCTGAAGTSGAAGTGGGCTAGAGGGAGTTAGCGCAGCCATAGCTGCTTGTAGAGTAGAGTTAGCTGGCGGCCATAGCTGCCATAGTTAGTAGTGGGTGTGCATTCGTGTGTGTGCAGAGTGTGTGCCTGAGGTGTTCAGGGTGATCCGGAGTTGAAGTGTGAAGTGAACAGTGGTGTCGGACACAGTGACAAGAATTGCGATGTGTGGGTGCTGATGCACCGTAGCCTGTTGAAGTGAGCTTGCATCTGAACTGTGTCTTGGTTTCCATATCTTCGAGCTTTGAGTTGGGCGCCACGCGCCAGTGTGATTCACCATCTGTTTGTATGCATGTGAAGTGACGAAGTATGCGAGTCTGATCGCACTGGTATCAGAGCTGGTACCCGCTACTCCATGCGCATCGCCGTTGTAGCAGGAGAGAGACGCATGGGCACCATAGCTGAAGTGCGCCACCTTTGAAGAAGAAGTCCGCCATAGCTGCGCTGCGGAAGAAGCGCACGCGTACCTGCACAAGAGGACAACGACGAAGAGAGAGAGAGAGAGAGAGAGAGAGAGAGAGAGAGAGAGAGAGAGAGAGAGAGAGAGAG